GACGATATTTGGATATCGTTGTTGGTACAACTATCAGAGATTGACTATGGATTGACACAATGATGAGCAAGCCCAGAAAAATATGGTACCAGCAAAAGCAGTTGTAGACAGTTTATACATTTGTTGGTGTGGTGTACTACTCTGTGCTAATGTGCTGTATTGTGCTATGCGGCTCTGTGCTATGCTGTTCTATGCTGTTTTGTGCGAGTACGCTGGGGATTCGGATCCCACAACAGTCTCCCCATGTGTGCACATGAGCATGTGGAGCATCACTCTCCTTGTTATCCCGTTGACCCTGCTGACCCCGCTCATTTTTCCTCTCCTCTTTTATCAATTGGCCAAAGATAAAGTGCTGCATGATTGGAAGCTTCTCCAACACCTCTTTCCTATACATCTTCACCATCCCCTCCTTTATCTTCTGCCAACTCTTGGCCCCTGATATATCATCCAACATCGGTGAATGCCACCTCAAACTCATCTTCGTCACCCTATTGATGAAATCAATACACTCAAAATACATATACTTGTCTCGGTACATCTCAACCAACTCGGCATTGTGGATCGATTTCGGACGCATATGCTCGTGTCCCGTCAACTGCGCAGCTCCAAAGAGAAAAGGAAGAAAATGATAATCATCAAGTCCCCATACTCCATGTGACCCTGCAGGCTCAAGCCAGTACTCCTTTTGCAACCGCCTCATCACTGAAATGTACTTTGTGAATACAAGAAGAACTATCCCAGTATACTCATGACGCTCTATCACACCTATCTTTTTTAGACATAGTAGAAAACATATAAAGTTTAGTTCATGTCCTGACCCATAGTCGATCCTATTAGCATCGCCAAATGAATGTTGGAGATACACTGATAATTCTCTAGTCTCACTCTTCCTCCCCTCCTCTTCCTCTTCTTTCTCCTCTTCCTCCTCTCTCTTTCCCTCTTCTTTCTCTTCTTCCCCTTTCTTTCCCCTCACATCCTCTACCAACTCTTGGCTCTTTTCCTCCAACTCCTTGTAGAAGTCCCGAAACTCGATCTTGCCAAATCGAGAGTTCCCGGTAGACTCAGCTCGGTGCCTATCAATAATCTCATTCACCCTATCGAGCATCTCCTCCAACACCCTTGTTGTCGCCGTTTCTCTCCCAGCACTGTTGTCCTTGCCAACTACTGACTCCTGAAGCTCACATATAAACTCAACAACCTCATTATACCCCTTACTCTCAATCCACTCTTGCAAATCCTCCTGTGTAACTATCATTGCAGAGGCAGAGAGAGAGAGAGAGAGAAAGAAAGAGAGAACGAAAAAAGAATGCCCTCTACGCGAAAAACTTTATACCAATTTCTTTATTCATCTTATATTCATTTCACTACTACTCTGTCGTACAACTTTATATTCGTCCCCTCCAGATATAGCTCCTCCCGCCTCTACCTTGTACCCAATATACTCCCCCTTATCAACATCATTAAACAAATACAATACATCCCCATTTCTTATCCTCTTCTTATATCCTTTGCCTAAAACTACACTATTCACCATACACGAATTCGTGCTCATATCTAATATCCAAAGCCGCTCCTCTTCATCGCTTACTATTATACAATGGATTTTTGACAATCTGTCATCGCCAATGGTGAAATCACACACTTCGGCTCGCCCAATAGCAAACTTGCCCTTTGTGATCTTCACTGGGTCTGAATTGAGAGATCCTTCTATCGGCTCTAAATTCACGGGACTTGCCAACTCATCCTCTATCTTGAGTCTTTTCACGGCTGACTCAACTCGGCTCTGCCGCATACTCGTCACAGGGTCTATTGGGAATGGTCTCTTTGTCGGCTGCGACATGGGCAAGTTACGTATTGGCTGTGATTGAGGTAACGGTACTACTCTCTTTGGAACCTTAAAATCTTGCTGCTTCCTATTCTTACCACTGTCCAAGGGACGAAGCATAATATCCTCATCTATTTTGCTCATTGATTCAATATGAATGCCGTTTTCAATTTTCCGCGACTGCTGAGATTGTGATTGAGAAAGGCTTAATGATTTGGGCGAGGACGTGTGGGCATCCTCTGCTTCCAGTAACCACCTATGTTTTAATGCTTCCTCTGCAGTTATTCTTTTTCGCGGATCAACTTGCAAGCAACAAGCTAAGAAATCCCTACCGTCTTCACTCACCTCGTATGAATTCAAAGGAGCCTCGTGAAATTCCCCATCTTTGATCTTTTGAAACATTTGTTTTTGCGTTTTTCCATTAAAGGGAAGATGTGACGTAAGCAACACATACACTAAACACCCTAATGACCATAAATCAACCAGATTGGAGTAATTGTTTGATGGAGAATCTGTCATCTGAGACAGCCCAAACTTTCCTGTTATCACCTCCGGTGCTACATAGGCTAAAGTTCCACAAAATGTCTTCATCAAAGTCAGGTTATCACTAAACTTGGCCAACCCGAAATCAGTAATCTTTACCAATATTGGATCATCTTGCATGATTAGTATGTTATCCGGTTTCAAGTCTCGATGGGATATGCCCAATTTATGGACATAAACTATCCCCTCCAAAATCTGTCTAGTTATGACCTGGGTGGCATCTTCTCCTATAGCTCCGTTTGCGGCAACGAAATCCATGAGGTCTCCACCCGGCACCAATTCCATCACAATGTAATAGTTTTCGGCATCTTCGTAGAACGCCTTCAATGCAACTATATTTGGGTGATTTAACTTTTCTAAAATAGACAACTCTCTGTCCACTCCAACTAAAGCATTTCCCATACCACTAGTATTCAATGCTTTGCGACGATTAATAATTTTCACAGCATATGCATTCCCCGTTAACCTCTCTATGCATTTTTTCACTGTAGCAAACGCGCCTTGACCGATTGTTTCATTTTTGATAATAAAGTCTTTGAAGATTCCTTGATCCAGGATAATTGAGTCTGGTGCTAATGCAGGATTAAACTTGTCTGCAAATACAACTATAAACTTCACCACATCTGCCGGAACACCGTTACCCACGCTGATCTCATCTCCTTGATTAAGCAAATAATTGGACCCCTTGACTAGTCTGCTGCCATTGAGCGATGTCCCATTAGTGGAAGTATCTCGAATCCACAAAGACTTGTCGTTTACATTTAACCAGATAATAAAGTGTCTATTGGAAAGTCTCGTCGACGTGCTTAATTGCAAGTCCGCTTCATTTGACCTACCAAAATACCATACTATTTTGTTCTCTTGTGCTGGCTTATCGGTAAGGTTGAGATGTTTACTGGAATACTGCCCCGTTGCACATATCAATTGACAAATTTCATTTCGATCTTGGTCTTTCTGCGTCTGTGTTGGAGGAGACTGTTGGGTTGTTTGCGTTTGAGAAACCTGTGTGGCCTCCATGTGATGCCAAAAAGGGGGTTGACCTATCTTCAAGTTTACTTACCGTACTATACACGAGTTTACCCGTGTAGGGGAATATATGAATTTTTTTTTTTTCAGTATCTCTCTTTTTTTTTCTTTATTTTTTCGAAACGCGTTTTAAAAAATGGAATCAATGTTGGTGGACAAAGTTGGTATACGTGATGGAGGTGAAGAAAAGGCGACACTATTGAGCGACACTATCGAGCGACACTATCGAGCGACACTATCGAGCGACACTATCGAGCGACACTATCGAGCAAAGCGAGATAGTGGAGCACATTGACTGGTTACGACACTATCTCGCTTTGCTCGATAGTGGAGTATTGACTAGCTACATTGACTAGTGAAAATGATACAATCAAACCCGTGTGTAGAGTATAAAAAATTAATTTGTAAGAGTGCCATTAGTTCGATTTGAATTTTAGTGCATTTCACCTAGCGAGCGAAACGAGCTAATGAAGCACTTTGTAGCTTGTTACTACACTATCTAGAAACACTATCAAGCAAAGCAAGATAGTGTCGAAACCAGTCAATATGCTCCACTATCGAGCAAAGCAAGATAGTGTCGAAACCAGTCAATGTGCTCCACTATCGAGCAAAGCAAGATAGTGTCGAAACCAGTCAATGTGCTCCACTATCGAGCAAAGCAAGATAGTGTCGAAACCAGTCAATGTGCTCCACTATCGAGCAAAGCAAGATAGTGTCGAAACCAGTCAATGTGCTCCACTATCGAGCAAAGCAAGATAGTGTAGAAACCAGTCAATATGCTCCACTATCTCGCTTTGCTCGATAGTGGAGCTTCTTGCTCTGCTCAATAGTGAGCAGCACTTTGTAGCTTGTTACAACATTATCTCCTTCTATTCGACAGTGTCGGTTGTGAGCAACTTTTTCTTTTCAATGTATATTTTTTGCATCTATTTTTATAAAAAACTGTAAACAAGTAAATTCTTAGTTTTACATATATCAAATTATTATAGTCAAAAAAGACACACCGACGAGTCTGATAGTGTTGTAACAAGCTAGTAAGTGCCCCAATCGCTAGTGTTGTATCAAACTACAAGGTGCTCCTCTACCACCTACATAGTGCTCCTCTACCACCTACATAGTGCTCCTCTACCACCTACATAGTGCTCCTCTACCACCTACATAGTGCTCCTCTATTCTCTATTAGCTCGCTCCACTCGCTAGTGTTGTTTAATACAACTGGTAGCATTCCATTTCTTTTATCTCTTCCCATTATTACCGAAAGAAACCCCCTGTTAGCTTTATTTACCATACTTGCTCCTTTCTCTTCTCCAACGATGATTGCTAATTCAACACAGATATCCAACAGGATGTTCAAGTCCCAGAGATTTGTTATTTTGATGATTGTTTCAATGTTTGCTATACTTCTTGTAATAACCTCGTTAGCCGGTTATCATGGGGGTTTAATTGACAAAACTAAATCATTGACTAACAACCAAAGTGAGGAAAAAATACCTAACCTGGATATGCCTGAATCTGAGAAGGAGACAGACACGGAGAAAGAGAAGGAGGGGCAGAAGGAAGGTGGTGATGGCGCTGCAGAGCTGAGTTGATATTCATCAACAATAATCTATACACCTTTCCAAATGGCTTTTTCTAAATACTCACTAGATTTTTTCGGTTGCACTATACCCAAGTGCATCATCTCAAAACAATTTTGTAAAAACCAAGAATATGTTGTCTTGTGCCAGTCCTCATCAGTCATCGATTTTGGTCTTTCCAAAGATGCTGAATATGCTTGGTAAAAATCGTGTAAATTTATAGCGGCTGGTGCTTCTTTATAAACTTTGAACATCTGACAAATAATAGGAGGTTTTTCAATTTGCCCTAGATATGTCTCGGCATTTTCTAAACTCGTTTCAATGGTTGCGCGTAGATTAGGGCGCAACAAATCAATCATCAAATTTTCGAAATTTTCTTCAAACAAGGGTGGTTTTTCGAATTTCTCGTGTATAACACCGCCGTCCATGGAGAATATTTCGTTAAACGGCATCTCCTTTAAAGGTGTAGTCAAAACCGGGTTTTGAAAGTAAGTTTCAAGCAATTCAACAAGCTCAGGTGTATCCGTTGCTGCATTTAGGCCTTTATTCAACTTTATCAAATAAACATCAGAAACACCATTTAGTGTTTCTAAACAATTTGTAGTTAACGAGGAGGTGATTCTCTCAACTACCCTTGGCGGATGTTGTGTTATGTTTAAGCACTCTCGAAAGTACTTTGAAGTAAAAAGCTTACCATTGACTAAACTGGTATATAGTTCAAATTTCTCTTTGCGTTTCTTTGGATCTAATTGATATATTACATTGTTTGCATTCATAATAACAAGCTTATGTGTTTGATATTGCGCTTTTGCCAGTTGAAATAATTTAATGACACAAGCATCATTGGATAATAAGTCTTTACCTTCCATAGACTTTACCGCCAACTTCTTTTCCACCAATTTTTTGAAAGAAGGTAGTTTTCTCAACCCATCTACGTACAACTTTGACTCGTCTAATCTGGTTATTAATATGGATAGCGGCAGTTGGTAAAAATGAATCATATAACACAACCTAACCTCGGAAATTAAGGCATCAATGGAATTGTTTGAGTTTTGAAACCTGGTTAAAATTATTGTACTCAATGTATTGCTGATCAACAATGGGTTTTCCTCTGTTAGTTCGGGTGTCAAAAATAAATTATGTAGTATCATAAAGCCAAGACTGATATTGTCGTTAGACCTGAATTTGTAGCCCTGCAGATTTAATCTAATGTCACTTCTGATATTGTTGTTGATCCAAGAACTCACGGTGTCGCATGATAAGGTTATTAACAACTTGAAAGGTATCTGTGAACTCGTTGATTGAAGACTTTTTATCACTTGATTCAACAACTGGTTATTAAATAAATTCGTATCTTCTATAACAATCACTATTCTCTCGTCTAAACCGTTCTTTTCAAACCAACTGGCGAGGATTCCTAAATCGTAAAACAAGTATTTACTTGAATCTAGTTTATTTCCATGGCCTTCATCGAATTGTTTAATGATCTCTTTCAAAGCTCCCTTAATATGGGGGCAATTCTTTGTATTCAAAGTGATCAAGAACGACCTCTGAGAGTTTTTCTCCTCGATGTATTTGTAGAACTGGTCGAGAATTCTCAAATTATTCGCTGTATTCGAAGTCATTTGGATATAACCAATTGATAACTTTTCCGGTTGCAACAGCGGCAGCAGCGGCATCTGGTGCAACGGCAATGGCTCATTAATAAAACAAATTAATTCTCGAAACAAATCGTCATTGGCATTGTTGACAATCAGCTGGATCTTTTTCAGCTGGTTTTTCCAAATCTTTTCATATAGCTTATATCTAAACTTTACATTTTTGAGGGGTTCCTTCCCATTGAATAATGATAAAAAGGGAGTTTTTGTTGGTTTTACTTCACTTTGTTGTCCTGTTATTGCGCAAAATGTTTGTGGAAAGCCACGCTCCGAATTGGTTGATGAAGTCTTTGGTATAGCGAAATAATGTGTCTTGAAATTGTCATTGAAGGTGGAAGAAATAGGATTCTCGCGACTTTCAAATTGGTCTTCTTCACTCGATATACTCTCCAGATAACTTCTCTTTGATTGTACCATCTCTCAATTAACCAAGCTCGACAAACAAGCTCAACAAACCAATCTCAACAAACCAATCTCAACAAATCAATCTCAATAAACCAAGTACAACAAATCAATCTCAACAAACCAATCTCGACAAACAATCTCAATAAACCAAGTACAACAAATCAATCTTAACAAACCAATCTCGACAAACAATCTCAATAAACCAAGTACAACAAATCAATCTCAATAAACCAAGCTCATCTCACTGGAAAAAAAAATATATATATACGAGAAGCTGCGAATATAATTGTGAGGAGCATCAAGTGCCTACAAGAATTGACTTCAATCGTCAAGCTGATTGTGACTACCAAAAGGCAACATCATGATTGCCAATATATACACGGGTATAATTACCAGCCTCATCAAGTCTTTTTTGTTAGAGGAATTGCAAAGATTACATGAGACTGCTTGTATATTCCTTATATAATTTTCTCGCGTTATTACAACTCACTTTGCCACTCCACGCCACGCCACGCCACGCCACGCCACGCCACTACGCTACACTACACTACACTACCTTTCAACCGCTCCCCCCCCCTCCCCCTCCCCCCCTT